TTAAATTTTTAAAATTAATATTATTTTTGATTTAAAACAGATTTATTTGTATAAAATTAAGCAAGTTACTCGATGAGTTTTATTTTATTTTTATTTTTTTTATTTTTTGGCATTTCCTGTCACCTTGACTGCTGCTCGACCATGACCCGTATACGATTAATTGTCACAAAATTCCAAAGATCGAACCACTTTATTTAATTTTTTTAAAATATTCGTACAATTTAGATAATTTTAACTTAAAAAAGGGGGCTAAAATAATTAAAATTATATTTAACATTTAAAAAATTAATATTTTTATACAGAAAATTTATTATTTATTATTATTAGCCCTCTCACCCTGTGGCACTAAGAGGGTTTTTTTTCTTTATCGAGTCCATTGTGGATCCGGCAGACCCACAATGGGTCGGCTGAATGGTGAAAGATGGGGCTCCATCTATCAGGATGGACCGCCCAAAAAAACTCCTGGGGGATTCGTTCATGGGTCCCCAAAACGATTGGATATTAGCTTAACTGTTTAGCCATCCGGCCCTCAAGGAGTACTAAGAAGTATTTTAAAATCATACGAACAGCTGGCCGGATGGCCGAGCAATTAAAGGTGTCATCCTATCTCTGGAAACCGGGATAGAGTCCGTACAAGCACCAACCCCTACGGTCGACTCCAATGTGGGCCTAGATGAACCCATGTTTGTTGTCCAGTTTGCTATAAAGGGCCCTCTTTATACCCACAGGGCAGGAGGAGTTTAAAAAAAGAAACATTATGATAAGGCCAGACTGAAAATGGGGGTTAGCGAGTGGTAGTGATGGAACCCGACAAAAAATTCTTGAGGAATTGCTGGCCAAGATTCGATCCCGTGTTCCTAAAAGCTGACGTATTTAACCGGCCCGGCCATCACGGATATTATTATTATTAAATTTTTTACGCATGGTTAACTTTAAAAAAATTAGAATAAAATAAATACCGGTTCTCTTTTGTAACTTTATATAAATAATCAACACGTAGATAACTGCAATTCATGGTAACATGTGGTTTCAAAATATTAAATTTTACTGCTAAAAATTTATTATTATACTTTATTAAGAAAATACAGTTTATAATGAATATAAAAATTTATAAATTGCTCGAAAGTAATTATTAGAACATTAAACTGTAGTATTTTCTATAATTCAAGGACGTGTTCGACGTCACGTGCATTCATAAAATTGTTCGGGAATATATTCACATCCTCGTGATAAATAAACGAGAAATGATAGTATCGCGTGCAAATTTTACATGTACACAAAATAGATTCGTACGTAATTAAAAATTTCAAAAGATAATTTTTTATTTTGAATTTATCAAAGCGCCATATTATCTACTAGTGTCAGAAATTTTAAAAATTAAAAGCGTAATCGTTCCAGATACGGGGATGAATTTGCGCGTACAACTAAACGCTCTGAAGCTAATTTCAAGAGGTAAAAAATGCGAATTTGATTTATTGCGGCGCCGTATTATCCTCTAGCGTCAGAGATTTGAAGTTCTAGCAAAACGGAGCGTCAATCTACTGGATTCACGCGTAAGCTGAGTATTCCACAACTTCGAGGCTAAAGACCTTAGAGCCTCATACTATAAGATTTAATCTTATAACTTATAGACGACCCTTTGCTCTCCATTTGGTAAAGGGCAGAGGACCTTCTGGTTTTGTTTGATTTATTCGTATAGGGCGATCTGTCGCCCCGAGAGTTTTTTTTTATGGGAAACTGGCTCCTATTTAAATGTCAGTAATGTGAAGAAACCCGGAAAACTCTACGTGGCCAGGCGCGAACCCACGACCAAAATATTCAGTGGTTTTTCTCCACTCGGCCACTGGTGGGCCTTGACTTAATTTATGCAATTATAATTATAATTTACTAAATAAATAGTTAAGTAAAAAGTGATTTATATTATATACCAAGACACAAGAGGTGAATGAATGTTCTTGACGTTGATAGGTTAAATATATGTATATAAATGGTTTTCCAAAAATGATTACCCAAGACGAATGGATAATCTGTAGGT